CCTCCCTGCTTCCCTGATGGTCTGGAGCGTTGTCTCTTCCGACGTGTTCCTCTTCCCCTTCGGGGAGGGCCTGCCGCCCGAAACACCCCCGCGACGAAGAGCCCGACGTCGGGCGGCACATCAACTTCCAGGGCATGGCCTTCGATCGGTTCCAGAGTCGCGAGGCGTGCTGCGCGCGGCATGTTGTTGACGGCCCTCGGGCGGCGCAAAGGGTGGTCCCTGAGCGCGGTCACCATCCGCCTCGGGGCTGCGCGGCGCGAGGGGCGCGGCATTGCTCGGCACCGAAGGTGGTGCGAAGAGGGGTCGTCCTTGAGCGCGGAGGATGCAGAGTGGAAGGGACGCAGAGGGGGCGGGCAGGATGGGGGCGAAGAGGACGGGGAGGACGAAACGGGGGATGAAAGGGGGAATGTGAATGCTGGGAGGGTCGGCGAGGGAGGTCGACTAAACAAATGCAGGAAGAAGGTCTGGATGATTGGGGGGGCGGGGGGGGGTGAGGAAACTACTGTGGAGGGGGGATGAATCTGAGTAAGAGGCGGAGGAGACTTGACCCTTATTGAAATCATTTCGGGCCGTGATTGGGGCCTTTTGAGTTCCAATTGCGTTTTTCCTGGGGGGGGGGACATCGCATCTTGGGCTCCTCGTGGGGCGTGTTTGGGATGCTCTTGGAGCCGTCTTGGGGCTCGTTTGGGCTTCTCTTGGGGTCATGAGGGGCCCTCTTGGGGCTGCCTTGGGGCCGCAGAGAGCCATCGGAAGCGAAAAGGCGAAAAGGCAAACAACATTGAATTCCCAGTGGTTGTTGGACGATTATGACCTCTTGGCGGCCTCCTGGGGGGGCTCCGTGGCCGCTCGCAGCCGCCTGGGAGCGGTTGCCGCGCCTCTTGGTGCATCTGGAGAACCATGTTGGACCATCTTGAACGGCCTTGCGCTGGCCGATCGTGGGCGATCCAGAGGCGCCTCGCGAAACCCCCCTTCCAGGTCCAGGGCAGGGGGTCGAGGGAGGGCCCGTGCGCGATGGTCGTGAGCATATACCTTCGGTGTCCGCGCGGACGTGGAAGATGCGATGCAATAGTTTGCAATGCAACAGCGCGCGGCAAGGCGCAGGGCGGAACGCCGCCATCTAGGCAAGTGGCATGCGACATGCGCGTGGAACGCGCGGTGAATATGCGCGATGCACCTCAGGGGCATCAACTGATAGATGCGCCTGGGCGAAGGCAGGGGCTGCGCGAACAACTACGATGAAACGACTCGCGCGCATCATGGGTCTCTGCGGGCCACGCTCCCCAAGCCAGAACGCATGAGCGATCGCGCCCACCTCGGACACGAACGACATGTGGTTTTGGTTCCTGCTGCGGGCAAGACCTGGGTCCTGCTCATCCTTCTCCCCCTCCCCCTCTCCCTCCTCCTCATCCGCCTCTCCCCCCGCAAGTTCCTTTTCCATTCCGCTTCCTTCTGCATAACTTTCCCTGTCGCACGCCGAGGCCGGTCGGAAAAACGGGCTGGGCGTTTCGCCTGAGACCTCCGTATCACTTACCAGCCTGAAACATAGAAACGGAGGGCGGGTCGTTTCCAAAATGTTGCTCTCGCCACAACGCCGCTTATATCTGCGCAGGCATTTACAACCGTGTCACTGATTCAGGGCGGGTCATTTTCAGATGTGGCTCCAGCGCCGCGCGCATTCGTCTCAAAACATTGCAAGAGCTTCGCGGGTTGAACGCGACTGGTTTTCAAAATGTTGTGTTCGCCTCGGCGCCGCGCGCTCGTGTCGTTAAAACATCAAGAGCCTCACGGGCTGAGGGCTGCAAGTTCTCCAGAATGTTGCTCTCGTGTCACCGCACATTCGACTCAAACATGTGTCAGAATGTTACGGATTGAGGGCGAACGGTTCCCGACCGAGACTCTGCCTAGAAAAGGTTATTACCGTCTTGCTTAGAGGGGCCGGGCACTGGATATAGCCCTGGGCGGTTCCCCCGGCATCCGCCCCGCGGTTCCCCCAGCTACGCCCCCTTAGCTTAGCGTTGCCTATATCACTGTAGCTTAGCTTATTTCATCTTGGCTTAGCTTAGCTTCAGCTTAGCTCAGGCTTAACTTAGTTTACCTTCATCCTAGCTTCGCTGATCTTTAGCATATCATAGCACAGCATAGCATAGCACAGCGTAGCATATCATAGCGCAGCACAGCATATCATAGCACATCCCAACATCGCAGAGCAGAGCGCTGCATAGTATAGCATATCATAGCATAGCGCAGCACAGCACTGCACAGCACCGCGCAGCATAGCATAGCATTGCATAACATAACATAGCCTAGCATAGCATAACATAGCATAGCACAGCATAGCAGCAAAGCAAAAGCAAAGCAAAGGCACAGCCACTGCAGCGACAGCAAAACAAAGCACAAGCAACGCAAAGCAAATCAAAGCAAAAGCAAAAGCACAACAAAGGCAAAAGAAAAACAATGTGCGACAAATGCCGGGCTAGCCTCGATGGCCGGACCGCAGCCCCCGCAAGCAGTGCCTTCCGTAACCATTTCGGCTCAAGTCCGGAGGCCAGTGAACAAAGCCGCCCACGTTCATGTCCCGAGGTTGGCGGCGCGAGGCGTTCAGCGGTGCTGCCCAGCCCGCCTCGGCACCAGGCGGTGCTGCACAGCCCACCCGGCCTGTCGTGGCCATCTATGTGGGCGACGTCGCGTCCAAGCGGAACGACGATGAGCGGGTTGAAGGCAGCAATATGTACACGGCTGTCGAGGATGACTTCTGGGCGTTCGTTGTGCTCTTTGCGGCTGGGTACGGCCTGCAAGACATGCACTTCATCAGTCGCGCGACGCGGGGCACGTGGTACTCGCACCATGCCCGCCTGGGCAGGGTAGGGGGGTGGGTCGTCAGGCTGATCCAGACACAGGCTTGCTCGGGATGGGGATGCCTGACGCGAACATCCATTTGACGTCTCAGAAGAGCGGGGAGGATGGTAAGGGTGTTGCTTCTCGGCACCTGCAGCTGACCCACATGATCGACAACGATCTCGAGTGTTTGTGGAGTGTCTTGAACGACGGAGTTGGCAACTCAAGCCTGTCGATCAGGCGGAGCAAGGGCCGCGTCATCCAGTGCACGCGCATCCGCCCTGTGGACAGCAGGCGGTGCCTTGATGAAGACGACGACTGGCTGGAGAGGTACGACTCGTGGTTCCAGGTTGCCGAAGGACGGAGGAGAAGTCGTCGACTGACCACAACAGGGGGAACGCGACGGAGAATGAGGACATCGGCGACGACGAGGACGAGGGGCCGCACAAGCGCCGGCGCCGTGAGTGAGCGAGCGGCTAGCACCTCGCAGCTCGCGGGTCGCGCCTCGCAGCTCGCAGCTCGCAGCTCGCAACCGGTGAGCGAATGCAAAAAACATGCGTATGTGTGTCTGTGCGCAGGCAAAGTAAGAAACAAAATCAAGCAAAAGCAAAAACAAAATCAAAACAAAAACAACAGCAAAAGAAAAAGCAAAGGCAAGGCAATGCAAAGCAAAAACAAAACCAATGCGAAAGTGTAGATGTAGATGTAGATGTAGGTGTAGGTGTAGATGTAAATGTAGATGTAGATGTAGATGTAGATGTAGGTGTAGGTGTAGGAGTAGGTGTAGATGTAGATGTAGATGTGAGTCTCGTTGTTGATGATGTGGATGTAGATGCAGGTGTAGATGTTGATGTAGATGTCGGTTTAGATCTAGATGTTGCTTTCCTAGATGCTCCAACTCCTAGGTAGGGTCGCACTGGGATAATTTTCAATATGTGGTTCTCGCCTCAGCACTGCGCACATTCCATTGAAACATCTGGCAGCACTTCCCGGATAGAGGACAGCTGCTGTTCAAAATGTGGCTCTCGCCTTAGCGCCGCACGCACTCCTTTCAACAAATTGTAAAAGTTTGGCTGATTCTCATGGTGCACCTTCCAGAATTGGTGTTCCCGAGCGATTCAGGACTGTCAGGGCGCAACAGTTATGTTGATTCGCGGTGTTGAAGTCCAAGGGTGGTGTTCTGGCACGGCTCAGGATCGTCACGACGCAACAGTCAGTTTGACTCGTGGCGTTGAAGTCCTGTGAACGGTGTTCCGCCACGCTTCATGGTTTTCACTGAGTTGTCTCCCAACGGGGCAGTCCCATCAGTGGAAGTGAATCCTTGTATGGGGCTCACGAAGAGGTAGCTTGGAGGGAGGGAGCACCCCAACATAATTGATGAACCTTGGGTTTACACTCGTCCTCCTCCTTTTGCTCCTCCTCCTCACCCTCCACAATCCACAACCCGCCCCATGTCACAAGCCTGTGGCAGGGTCATCAGCTCGTCGTTGTCGTTGTCGTCGTGGTCGTCGTCGTCGTGATCGTCGTGGTCCTTCTGGGTCGGCAGCACCGTAAACCCTTCAAAATAATTGAACGGGGAACGCCCAGTGCACAAGTGGCACTGAAAGCGCCACCAAGCCGAGGCGTCTAATCAAGCGTCCTCCTCGTTCCCAGGCAGTTGCTACCCAGTTGAAATGATTCCACTTGAAAATAAAAAAACCTGGAGAACGAGGCACCGCCGCGAGCGAGGAGCTGGGCGGTCTCCCGCAGCAGAATGCCAACTTCGTACACAAAGCCCGCCGGAGAGGATCTGCAAACGGGAGAGCCGCAAAATGGCTGGTTCGCCCCCAACTAAGTTTTGTCCTCCTCCTCCTCCTCCTTCTCGTCCTCCACGTCCCTCTTTCCAGCCACATCCCGTGCCGCCAGCCGAAGGATAATGTTCGGGGCGTAATGGCTTCGCGGGGGAACATCGAGCTGGAATCGGCGACGCATCACCGATCGATGCTGCGATGGGCCACCGCTGGCGAACCCGCACGCTCCTGGGCGGGGTGGGACATGGGGCCCTTGTCGACGACGAGTGGGCGATGGGCGGTCGATTCACCCCAGGGGCCCCGGCGTCCAGTAATTCGGGCCTCGGGCCTCCAGAGGCCGCATGAGACGAGCCAGCCCCCCCCACCCCCCCCTCCATCACCAAATCGAATTCCGAAGGGAACGCTCGGCAGCACGGCCGCAAGAAGAGAGCTCAATCCTCCTCTGGAGGGAGCTCAAGAAGCGTGGCCTATGCACCGCGAGGGGAATTCCACCACCGCGAAAGGGAAGGCGAAGCGGTGAAGGGAGGCCACATCAGATTCCAACGAGGGAGGAAGGAGGGGGATGGATGAGGCGGGGGAGAGGGAGAAAGACAAGGAGGAGGAGGAGGAGGAAAAGGAGGAGGAGGAGGAGGAGGAGGAGGAGGAGGAGGAGGAGGAGGAGGAGGAGGGGGGGGAGGAGGAGGAGGAGGAGCAAAGCAAAGCAAAGAACTATCGGACCCGATGTCTCTCCATAGCTACGAGACCAAATCAGGCTGGATCTAAGTGACTGCAGTGAGTCAGACTTCCAACATGAGGAGCCCTGTAAGCGGGGAGCGCTCAAGCCTGACGACGACCCCATATGGAGGGATATCCAGTGGGCGTCACATGGCACCACCCCCCGAATTACAGGAAAACCCGATCGGACACTAGGCAGGCCCCCGTGGCCCCACCCCTCTCGCTCGACGGCTCGCGGGCTTCGCACGAGCCTGAGCAATAAAAACAGTTCGATCATCGTGGACACTGCCCCAGCGACCTGGCAACGTCGGGCGGTGGGCCGGCTTGGCCGATGGCACGAAGGAGGGCGACCCAAACTTGAGCGAAGGGAGGGCCCATGGCCTCTGGAGAATTGTCTGCCTTTCGCCGCTTCGCCTCTTGATGATATGCGACGCCTGCGGCCTCGGCGGCCATGATGACTGTATGCTCGGCGTCTACCAAACTTGCCACGAAGACAACGCCGCGCAGCTCGCGTATTTCCGCAGCGCTGCTGAGGGAAAGCCGCGCCAGGATGGCCACCAGGGCCTTGGGAACCCCGCCGTCTTTGCCTGCTCCCTCCTTATTGGCCTCCTCTACTACGTCCACGATCGCCTGCCGCCTGCGCTGGTTCGACTTGCCCCCCTCGGCGGCGGCAGCGGTCGATGCCAGCGTCCACGACGGAGTCGCGCCCATCGTCTGGCGGTGGCAGAGGAAGAGGGTCCAGGTGTGATCTGAGATGCGCCTGCAGTTCGAACAAAACGCCTGCAGAGAACTCGCACAAAGGACACTTAAGATGCTGGGCTCCGAAGCTCTGCCACGTTGCGAATGCAATCCTTAGGGCGCCTACCTTTGACCATGCTGCGAGACAAGTGACGTCGGGCACTCTCGAGATGAGCAAAGGTGGCAAGACACACGCAGCACTGGATAGTCACAGTGACGACATTAGCTAAGGCTCGAAACCCGTGATGGGAAATAAGATCGGTATGTAGAGCACGTCTATCTGGTCAGGCCCGCCCACATACCTCCCCATGCTCGCCCTCAATCGCGCAAGTAAACACGGCATCAACCTCGGCCCCGTCCCCCGCGACAGCAGCAGCAGCAGTCGACATCCCAGGAGGAGGAATAATCACAGACAGGACAGCGGCACGTAAATGACGCACATCTACGCCAGAAGTTGACGATGGGCCCACTGGCTTTTGAAACACTCTGCCAGAGTCGGAGACGACGTATTCGCATTTCCATATCGAGGGGAGCAAGACGCAACCATCGGAGGACAGCCTCAGCAGAAAGACTTTTCTGGTGAACTCCAGAGGTGCAATCAACAGCCTGCCGGACCCAGCATCACCTTCCGAGCAGTGCGCCACAACATGCTGCAGGCGCTGAACTTGTCGCATTCTCGGGAGAAACGCCTCAGACCCAGAGAGAGCCACGTTATATTTTTGTGACATCAGTAGACAAGGTCTAAGTCGGCGAGGGAGCCCCGAAGAGTCCAGAACCCACCCATCTGATACCCGGCCTGACGCACCGCACTGATACGAGACTTAAGTTCAACCTCTAAGCTAGCCGGTACAGAAGATCACCAGGACCCCAGACTCTTATTGGAGGGTGAAAGAGGGGGTCTGCAACAGGGGGTATTCAATGGGGGCTGAATGGCCCATGTATGCTCAATGTATCGCTCATGTATGTGATCGGGTACGATTGGCATCCAATGCTGGCGGTCATTGGTGGCCAGTCATTCGTGCCCGCGCGTTGCCCGCGCGGACGCACGCGCCATCCATCCATTATCGTTCATGCGTGCGGGCGTTCTTGCATATTGCGCGTGGGTCGGCGAAGTGGAGTGCAAGTGTGTCTTGATTGTGCGGTTGATGATCGCGTATGTTCCCAAACGATGACTTTTCGACCCCCAAGACAGATTTGGAATGGGCCCCGCGATTCTTCCAAAATGTGAATTCACATTTTCCTTTTTCCCAAAATGTGAATTCACATTTTCCTTTTTCCCAAAATGTGAATTCACATTCTGGCCCCTTCATAAAGAATCCTGCACAAAATCCCAAAATGCGAATTCACATTTTCCTTTTTCCCAAAATGTGAATTCACATTTTCCTTTTCCCAAAATGTGAATTCACATGTTGCTTTTCCCCACAATGTGAATTCACATTTTGCCCTGGCCTTCAAGATCCCCAAAACTGAGGCGCAGTGTTCCGCATGCCAGATTGGCTGGGCAGATTTCGACACTCACCCGACCGCTTTCGTGTGTTCCAGCCTGTTCTTGTTGCGCCCTTAGCGCACGTTGCCCTCGTCGCCTTTCCCGAGCCCCCCGCCCCCTTGCTTCCTTTCCCCTCAAGTCTCGCGCGCGGGCGCCGGCGGGGGGCTTCAATTAGTTCCCCCGCCGAACACAGCAATCGAGGATGCATCGCCCATTCATGATTTTAAAAAACATCATTGCCGGGACCCTGCGCCCGACACCCACTTTCACCCTCCAATCTTAGCACGCTGAACAGGCCCCCCAGGAAACGCGAGACGCCCCGCCCGAACATCGCGAAGACATGTAGCAGCTCCACACCCCTGAACGTGCAACAATGCGTCCTGCTTCGTTAGACTCTGAGCAAAGCCAACATCAGCAAAATGCTCGTCCAAGGACTGATTAGACAGCCGGGTTAAATTGGCCAACTTGCGAGGCCCAACACCTCGCGGGAGCACAAGCGACTTGGCAAGATCGTCAGCGTACTTCGTAAGCGAGCAATTGACCGACTCACGTTCAAATCGAAGCCGACCATCTCGAAAGAACGGCAGCCTAGCACAGAGCACGGAGGCCCGAGGGTCGAACGCGGAGTGGGCGCCCAGCCACTTCTGCACAGGAGGAACGAAGGTGCGAACGAAGGTGTTGACTGCGAACTCATCCCCCATCAGTCCTCCACTCCTCGGTGACATGTTGGCATCCTCCTCGTGCCCCGCAACGTGATAACAGCGCTCCTAAGGCGCTGGTGACCAAATCGCACAGATGATCCCAATAAATCCCGAGTTGCAGACTCCATCGGCGGTCTAGCACTGCCTGCAAACGCATTCGTCGGGTCATGGGCGTTAGTGAGGAAGATAAAGCCATTGCGGTGCAGCCACTCCCCTGTGATACTCTGCGCCATGAGCGCACAATCACGACGTCGATGCCACAGAGACCCGCGGCCCTGGCCGGCGCCCTGCAGACGGCCCCGCCAGGCCACGCCCCCGACGCCCAGGCCGCCCCAAAGGGGCCCAGGACGTGGATACAGGGAGTTCCCCCATCAGGCCGCGAACGAGGAGCTCCCCGACTACGGTTCCAGAAGATCGGAATTTGCCCACAGCACCTTATCCGAGCGAGCCCCCAGACAATCAAGTCTCTGAAGTTATCCAAAGAACGCGGGCAAGCTACGGCGCCCAATCCAGAAGGCAGCTGGCTCAAGTTCTTTTTCGGGAGCCGTGACAGCCACCAGAGCTCTAAAGGAGGAGACCATTCGGGGGCGGCTCGGCGTTTGCCAGCACGCGTCAGGCGAGACATAATAGCACGCAGGTCTCTACGAGCAGCTCGAAAATCACCTTCTGAAGGCTGCACTGGGGGGGGCTCGAGATCCGCCCAGGCCGCCGCTCATGCCAGTCACCAACCGACGCCGCCGACATGCCTCCGAGAGGCCCAGGCAGAGCAAACAGGCGTTTAAGTTCAGCAGCTTCATCGACCCCCCATCGAATCGTGGCGTAATCGCGCTTATTCGGGCCGAATCTCGAACCTGCCGCTCGCCTTGCAAATCGAATCGTTTCAGCAAATCGACGGTGTTTCCCATGTTCTCGCACCTCCTCTAACAGCGCCTCCCTCCACCCCTCCAAAGCGCGTCTACGAAACAAGCGGTGCAGACGCGACGCATCACGGAAACGGCGCTGAACTTGCACGACGTGCTCATCAGCAACCTCTGGAAGCATAAGCCAAAGTTGCCGTCGCTGCTCAAGCGGCTGTTCCCGCTCAAGTCTATAGGTTTTTTGTTGTTCAGTTTCGAAGTTGCCGAAACCCTCTTGGCAAACCTCAATCAATCTAGCTTTAAACTGTTCAAAGAACGCATCGGCCGTAGACTTGTCCAAAAAAACAGTGAGAGCATTCTCGTCAGCCTCCAGCAGGCGGCGCAAAGGCTGCACAGTCACAGCGCGCCGGTCGCCGCGCCGCAGACACCGAATGAGCAGATCACGATCCCAAGCATGAGGTTTAGCACGAGGGGTGAAGGTAGAATAAGAGGGCGCATGCGGTCATAATCATGACGAGGAGATGGTCTGCAGGTCTAGTAGAGGGTATAATTTGCAGTTCGCGACTAACTCGTCGAGGAGGGCTGCTGCGAGACATCTGGCCCAAAAGCGGGCGCGGTAGACACGACAATCAATCGTGCTCGCCCCGCAGGCACTCGCTCCCGCGCACAGTTAGGAGCACGCAAGTCATGATTCGCTAGCACCTCCCCCACCGCTATCCCTGCAAAATGCGCCTGGCTGGCGCAGGACGACGGGCCGACATGCCTCTCGCTGCGCACCCACCCTCGCCCTGCGACATGCACCGGCCCGAGCCCGTCATTCAGATCCATGCCCACGATTGGAGTAGACCGAACTGGGAGAGCACATGATACGGTTCAGCCAACCACGGGGAAAGTTGACCACACGTACGCTGATACCCACTCGTCGCCGAGATCCCGAGGTCGAGGGGTGCTAATACAGTGCAACCCAGGCTAAGTCTCAAGAACCAATTTAAATCGAACAAGCAGCCCACGGCCATGGAGCTCTGGCGGGGGAACCGCGACTCGAACGACATGCGCCTCCGACAATCCCCTT